ATACAAGGGGATGACTATTGTTTACTGTATTAATGGAAGAATAGAGTATTTTGCTTATCTTCAAGTTTTCCAAACAATTACCTGTGAGCATACTGTTTTGCTTCTTGCTTTGTTTCTTAATGTAGGAAGTAAGAGAAAGCTGAGCTTGAAACTGTATAAATGCAGTTAAAAGCACAGACTGAAAAACTTTTACCAGGCTGAATCAGATCAAGGCTCAGGTTTCTGTTTATCTAGCCATGGATTTGTCCTTGTCTGTAACGGTAGAGGACATCACTAAATTTAGGTTGAACTGCTTGTGACTGTTTGCCTAGGAAGAATACTAATTATTCATCCTGACTAAACACACAGCTAAGAACTATATAGCTGTGATATGAGTGGGACAGGTGGGGGGGGGGCGGGTGTTCTCTTTTTTCCCCTCCAGGAACAATTTCTAAGGTATTTAAGCACTGATATGTCCAGCTTTCATTCTCACTGAGAAATGAGTAGACGTGCTTTGCGCCAAACAGAATGCGACTGAATTAAAATGATAAATATGTAATGCTAAAAATCTAAACCATTTTGTCTTCTAGAACAGATGAGTGGCTCTCTGCAGCAATAGATTGCTTAGAATATCTTCCAGATCATATGGTAGTTGATATTAGCAGAAACTTGCCTGATCAGCCAGATAAAGCAGATTCATGGAAACTATTGCTGTTTGAAAACATTGGTAGATACTATGGCCAGAAAAAGGAGCCCTTGTTAAGCCATGCACCTGAAATTCATTCAGGAATTGCAGAACTGTTGGGTAAGTAAAATAAAATAAAGCTAAATTCCTAAGCTCATGGGAAATGTATGTTGAAGGCTGTTGTGTAGTAGAGCAGCCAGGCTAGAAGCCTGACTGCTGCCTGACAAAAACTATGCTTTTGTTTTAAAGCCTGTTTTTTTCTGTTTGTTTGTTTTTGAGGAGGGCGGGTTAATAAAAAGTTAAATTCTGCTTTAAGGTCTTGGCTATGTGCAGTTCTGTAATTGGTGTTTGGATCTGTGTGTGATGACTGTGAAACTGGAATACTATAATTTGTTAGTACTTGATATCCATGGAAATTAAATGTCAAATTTTGTCAAATAAGGTCCGAGTCAAAGGTGTTTAGAAGGACTGTACCGAACTCACTACTGCTTTCTTTTTTAATCTCTCCCTACATTTATCCGTTAAAACGTTTCTAAAATTTTGTCTATTCGGTATCTTAGGAAGCTGCTATTCCACTCGGTCAATGACTCCTCATCCTTGTTCTCCCATTTATTTTTATCCTACTCTACCTTAATTATTCTCATCAATCATCTTTAGGGTGAATATTTTGCATTTGTATCTCATTCTGCTTCACATATGGCAAATGAAGTCTACAATAAAGTCTAATACTTTAAATGGACACATTAATTTAAAATTTGTATTATGCATAATAAAGCAAATTGGATGAGAACTTAGCAAATCTTCTTAARATGGCTTGTAGTTAATTCTGTTTACCTGGAAATATGCTTCAGAATTTTTGGGGAGAGCTTTCTTGTCACAACTAGATCTAGAACAACTAGAACACAGACATGTTGTGTGGACTGTGAACTGCAATTAAAGTTAATTGTAAGTGAACATATCTTATGTCTGGGCCTGGACTCTGTTCAGACTGCACAAACAGGTCTCATCTGTGAGGGCATTTTATTGTGATAACATTCTTTTGTTAAGCTTTGTTTAGAGAGGTGCACTTCTGTAGCTCAATGAAGAATAAGAAGTTATAAAAATAGACTGTAAATTTTTGAAGATAGCTTATGGCCTTTTTGGTTCTATGTTTCTCTTCACAGTGAATGGGAAGATGGAGCAATCTTTAGAAGCAGTTCAGCTCTACTTGAAACTTCTAGACAGCCAAACCAGGGAGGAGTTCAGGAGACTACTATACTTCATGGCTGTGGCAGCACATAATTCTGAGCTCAAACTACAGCAGGAGGTAAATATGCATCCTTAACTGTTAAATATTGTATTATACTTGCTGAAATCTAGGTGCCTGGTACAGGATCAAAAAGATGTTAGCAGCTCAAACATGTGCAAAGCAGTGTTTTTAGAAGAACAAAGTTCATACCCTTATTTAGCGACTGACTTGTCTGATGCTTCTGGTCACTGCTTTTTTTTCCTTTGCTCTTCAGAGTGACAACAGGATGGTTGTGAAAAGAATGTTCTCTAAAGCTATTATCAACAATAAAACCTTATCCAGAGGGAAAACTGACCTCCTGATCTTGTTCCTTGTGGATCACCAAAGAGATGTGTTGAAGGTAAGAGCTAGCAAATGATTAAGCTTTTGCTATCTTGTGTCTTCCTGTTTCTTAAGCTGCCATTTGATGGTCTTCTATCTCATTTAAGATTCCAGGATCACTGCATAAAATGGTCAGCAATAAACTGGTGGCTATGCAGAAGGGCCAGGATCCAAGTAATATAACAGGTAATAGCTTTCCCTTAATTCCTTTGTTCTTGTCTGCACCTGTGGAAACTAAACAGATAGAGGTGGTGCAAAAACCCTGCAAGAATGGCAATGAAAGTTGGGTGGCTGGCTGACTGCTCACTATCTGATTGTCTTGTGCTTCCTCTTAGGCTACACCTTTTGCCAGAAGCTTGATGAAAGTGAGTATCGCTCYACTACGGAGAAGACGACAAAAGATGAACTGTTATCCCTGCTAAAAGCTATTGATGAGGATTCAAAGCTCTCTGACAAAGAGAGAAAGAGACTGTTAGGTCAGTTTCACAGCAGTAATCCAAGTATTTTTATGCAGTATTTTGGAGACAAGGTTACTAATATGTGTGTGTGACATCAAGTATAGATAACTTCCCCCTATACTGCAGCATTCAAAACACTAATATATTTTTAAGTCTTTTGTATTCGTGTATCTAATAAAAATATTTTGTGGAACTGGATGGAGTTTATGAAATTAAATTACCAAAGGTAGTGGTACCTGTACAGTACGGTTTAGTCTTGTCCATTCCTGTAGTACCAAAAAAYTATTTGTTTCTGCCTTTAAGTCTACTGCTTCCTCTGGTACTCTTCAGGTGTCAGAAATCCTGAGTTTGGGAATGCTTCTGGGAATGATATCAGTGTCTCTTCCATTCTTTGCCTGTAGCGCTGGAGTTTAGCATAAACATTTTTGTTCTSACTGACCTTGTAATTTGTCATTGAGTCATGCAGCTTTGATCTTGCAGTATAATTAGCCAAGTTACCATCTGCTTCATCTGCCACAGCTTTCCAAAAATTTGCTAGTTAACTATACAGTGTGTGTAATGTATGTGGCGAACTATTAGGCTTTTTTAAAATTAAAATGGCCTCATCTGGTGGAATTGGTAGGAAAGAAGCTGGTGTTGTTGCCAGCTTTTAATCACATGCTAGAGCCTGAACTCCATTTGGACTCTACTTGAATGAGAAAATTATTCTGGATTTTAAATTAGTTTGGCTTCTATTGCCATGGATCATGTTTTYTAGGGCTAGTTATGGGTGACAGAGCTTCATTATAATGTTATCAGCACTCTGTTTATGGCGTTTTCTTGCTTATGGGATAGCATGTTTTGCTTTGTCTGCAACTTTTCATGATGTCTCCAGCTCTAATTAGAAGAGAGTTGGAACAAAAAGGCTTTTGTTCCGTGTGATTCTATATTTTGTGTCTAGTTTACAGTGGAAATCCAGGGACAGTTGTAAGCGGAAAGTACATGGCGAGAGGAGTGTGTTCTGAGGGTGCTACACCTCAGTCCTGTGCCTTCATCCTCGCTTGAGCCCGTGCCAGAAAGACTTCACGAGAGTTACTTGTGTAGGAAACACAGTGGGTGATAGAACTAGCTCTTTTAAGAGGGTAGGAAGCCAACTTGTGTTGAGAAGAGGTTTAACCATAGTCCTAAAATGAAGGTAGTAGTGAGTAAGGCCCTGTAGATTTTTTAAATTTTATTTTAGATATATTTAAAAACAGTGCAAACCACCCTCTCGGAGGTATGACTAATACATCTCTATCTCGTTCTGCTTTTATGTGCTGCTGCCCCAGGCTGTCCCTTCACAGAGGCTTTCTCAGCAAGTGAGATGTGCTGGTGCTGTGCAGGAAGAATGTGTTTGGGAGGGTATTGATGTAAAAAGGTGTGTTCAGCATTTTTCTTGTCCTGCAAAGGCTGGTTCCGGTTTGGTGGTGAATTTGGGGGATTTGTTTTGTTTTAAATGCTCCTTTGCTGCCGCTGCCGCGGTTTCCTCAAGGGCCGCGTGCTGCTCTCGGCTGTTGTCCAGCCCTGTCTCCTCTCCGCCGCGGGGCTCCGGCTCCCGCGCGCGGCGGGACGTGGCGCGGGCGCCGGCGCAGCCGCTCCGC